GGGGGGGAGGGGGCTCAAGCCTGTTCAGATGTATTGACCGTCTCTCCCATGCGACCAAGTACGCCCGTCGACTGCCCATTTCAATAATACTGGGCACTGGAGCGCAGTGAGTTCACGGTAATGTAAGCGCTTGCGTCCCGCGAGAACTGATGTGGGGCAACGCTTAGGCTTGATTTATTTTGTTCGTAAGATATAATAGGGATCAGTGGTATTACCTGCCGTTCTCCATGATGACCTACCGGAGCAACAGACCCCGTCTTAATACATCGTCCATTTTTTGCCACCGCACGTGGCGACAGTGGCAGTAACAACGGCAATGTATTGATCAATGTAGCGTTTATTTACTTAAGTTGCATAATGGCGGCGGCTTGGCTTTGCGCTCTTTTGCAGATGAAATGTTCGAAGGCCTTCATGACCCGTGCATTCATAGCTCGTCCCTCATCACCAGCTTGTGCTTGAACATGTTCTCCCGGAGGCCGAGCGAGTCCCAGAATTCAATGGCTTGCGGTCTCAGCTCAGTGACGGACGCCCAGTCGCGGTCGATGATCAGATAGTGCGGGTCGAACGGGTAGAAGAACTCCCAGTACTCGCGCCATAGGCCCGCGTCGATGCCGTGCACGTCGGGCGTGGGGTCGCCCGTCTTGGCGAACGTCACCCACATGTTCAAAATCTGTCGGATCTCGTTCACCAGCGGGTCGTTGGCGTCGTACAGCGGCGCCAGCTCATTGGAGAACATGAGCAGCAGCTCGTCCTTCTGCGAGACGCCGAGGTTGTGCGCGCCGGCGTGCCGGGCGAAGCGCGGGTGGCCCGGGCGCCAGTGCGCGGCATCCGCGCCAGACGGGTGAGCTGGCTGCAGTTCGCGAATGTGCATGCGGCCCTTTCAAGTTCCACTGGTACACAAACACCTTGTGCGTTGAGTAGTGGGCATGCCACCAGGCGGCCTCTTCTCGTGGCAGTGCAGAAGCATGCGGTCCGTGAGGAGCTCGACCAGTTCGCTTGCAGTCCTGTCATCTATTGGCCGATCGCCAAAATAATGCTTTCTGATCTGCTCGCTGGTGGCTGCCGGTCAGCGGCGGTTCGCGCAAAGTGCAGCAGCTGCGGCGCCAGCTCGGTGAAGCGGCTGTTGAGGTCGCTCCAGCTGCTGGCTGTCGCTGAGCAGCGCGTAAGCCGCATCCGCTCCCTCGTCCCGGTTTGTGCCCACGATCCACGGACTGTGTCGGAAGTTGTTTTCGGTCATCAGCTCGCTGGGCGGCTTGGGCAAAAAACGGCTCGGTAGCGTACGCGTCGATGACGGGCCCGAACGGCGCCGCGCCGCCCATCTGTCCGCTGAGGTGGGCCGTGGCGCGCGCGATGTCCTCGGCTGAAGCGTCGCGCAGGCAGGTGAGCATTGCGGCGCTGTCCCCCGTCGGGCAGGCGAGCCGAGCGGGCCAGCTCATGGCCGTTGGCCAACCGTCTCCGGCACCAACGCCCCCGGGCAGAAGGCCGTGCCACTCTGCGAGATGGCGCGCTCGAACAGGTTCTTGGCGCGCTGCGTCAGCTGCAGCATGTGAACCGAGACGGCGCCCGTGCCCTCGCCCATGATGGTCGTCAGGCTGCGCAGGCCGCCGAAGAACGCGATGTTGTTGTTGATCCAGTCGAGCGCCAGCACCTGGTCGTGCAGGCCCAGGTTGCCTGGCGCCTGCTGGTCGCCAGTCGAGAGAAACCCTGCCAACAGAGGGAAAGGGCCGGTTGACTCATAGGACGGGGACCGAACTGCGTGCTCAAATTAAGGGTCGTCAGCATCAGCACAATGTTGTTTTCTGCTCTGGGTCAACAAGGTAATTGAAATGAAGTCAACTAACCGGTGCGCCTGACACCGAAATTCACCTCCACGTGCAAGTTCTACCCATTCTCAGCATCTCAGGCAATCATATTTAAAAAAGAGATCTAATGCAAAATCTCTCAGCCATTCTGAAAATAGTGATTTTTTCTGATCTTTTGACCCCCACCTGAGCGCGGCGGCGTTCAGAGGCGCTCACGCGTGGCAGTGACACCAGCAGTGATCGCACCGCTGTCCGCGGCTGAGGACCACACACGGAGCGCACCGCCGACGGACCCCTGCCGCCGGGTGGCACTCACCGAACGCGCCCAGCCGGCTGTTGAGAGTGACGAGTACCACGTCGTGGTCGAGCCAGTAGCGCGGCCCGTACCAGTGGCTGCTGCCACTGCCGCTCGTCCAATCGCCACCGTGCAAGAAGACGAGCGGTGCCGTCGGGTTGGCCGGCGGCAGCGAACTCGTGTATATGTTCAGGTAGAGGCACTGCTCGCTGCCGATGGCGCGCTGCTGCCGCTCGTCCCACTGCACGCATTCGGCGCCGTCGGTGGTGGCGTTCAGCACGCCCTGCCAGGGCCCGGCCGGCTCCGCGCGGCCGAACCGCTCCGTCACGCGGCCGTACGGCACGCCCAGGGAACGCGTAGATCGTGCGGTTGTCGAAGGCGCTCTGGAGCAGCGTGGGGCGCAACTCGCCTTGCGGCACGCGCACTGTCGGCACGGCGGCGTCCTGCGCGCCAGCCGGCGCCGCCAGCAGCGCCAGCAGCGCCAGCAGCGCGGCGGCACACCACGTCATCACGCTGGTCTGGACAGCCGCGCCTCGCGCCTCGCGACAGCCTGCTGCACAGTCCCACTGGCTGGTGCTTAGCTCTCTACCGCGTAACGCTCAGCCTTACTCACTGTCCGGTGCTCTGTTCTCCACTGTGCGGCGCTCTGCCTCTACTGTCCGATGCTCTGCTCTCCACTGTCCGGCGCTCTGTCCTCCACTGTCCAGCACTCAAGCTTCCACCGTCCGGCACTCAACCCTCCACCGTCCGGCTGGTAGTGGTTCCGAGCGGCAGCCAACTGGGGCCGTGTGTGCCGACCACTGCTCACGTTCCACGTCGCCGTGCAGCAGGCGCCGGCGGGGGCCGGCCGCGCCACAGCGCTCATCTCGCTGGCCAGGTCACTGAACCCACGGTGGCCGGGGGCCGGGCAGCTGGGCTCACCTCTAGCACGGCGTCCCAGCGAAGAGGTGCGGGCACACCGAGCCGGTGAGTCGCTGCTGACCGGGCACTGCCGGGAAGCAGGCCACCGCCCTCGCACGGCCGGCAGGACGAGACGCGGATCAATCCGTGAGGAGGAGGTTTATTAAAGGCATATCGCACTGCAAGCCTGATGGGGCTCTGCCAGTCCACGTGGCTCTGTTCATAGTCGATGCATGGAAGGTTAGTAGTTTGGTCATTTCAATAATCTTAGAAGCTCTTTCATTGATCAGATGCATGCAACAGGCTTTTCAAAAGTTGGTATAATGTCATTCCTTTGCAAGCTGTAGGGACTTCTGCACGATGGATTCAGCCTTTTCTTAGGGGCATTGCTATTGTATTACGATGGCAAGAACTCCACAGCGGACCCATGTACAACGAACACCAAATCAAAGTTTGATTGCAGATCGTGCAATTAGAATAAATCCACCATGTCATTGTGGTAGTAAAACGATTCGCTGGAACACAAAGCACAGTTGCACATGAATTGAAAAGACGCTTCTTTTTTGGGAGCCCAAAATATAACCAACGGACCGTTTCGCAAGTTGTTTTCAACTTTTTTTCGTCATCTGTTTTGGGCGAACCTAGCTCCCAGCGCCCCTGCGTCAAAACTGGCATCGTATTGACGGATTAAATGCGCCTCCTTCAACCACCCACGGATGAAATGAACTTCTTCCTCACCATATGCTATCTCCGGATGTAACCGTTGCTTGGATCAAAAACGTACAATAACAAGCACGAGCATCTCAGCCATTCCAAAACCGTTCATCGTTCAGCGGAAACCTGTCGCGTGGCTGACGACTTGAAAGATCATCAATATGATGAAAAATCCTAAAAGAATTCCCACAGTTTAGGAGGAACACCACCAAACCCAATTGCGAGCGTTGAGCCTCCACAAGCGCCTGGAAGGTCGGTTGGATACTTGTCGCTCGGGTGGGGGATCAGTTTGACGTCCTGAGATCTCAGGAGCTAAGGAACCTGGAGACACCAAACTCACAGGGTGTGTTTTTCTGTACGTAAACTCACTTAGGTCAAAGTGTGAGGTTACTAGGTCATGACCTTCGGGTCAAATAAGGTCAAAAAGGTCAAACCCGAGGCTGGCGTCCAAAGTACCACCAAAACCTAGATAACTGTTCCAAGCAAGGGGTCACAGGGTCATTTAAGGGCGGCGACTTTGTCTGACCTTTTGAAGGTCATGGTGACTAAAATAATATAATACTGTTTTGAGTTTTACGTTTCAATATGCGGCAAAGGTTACGCTGGACAGTATGTTCCAAAGAGTAAAATGTTGACTTGGGTGATTTTAGGTCAGTGACCTATTATGACCTGAAAAAAGTCCATAGAAGATGTATAGTACGGTTCCTGTTCTCAATAAATTCCAAATGAGCAACCGAAACTACCCCATGCAACAAGCCATGGAGTGTAAAAACAGGCTAGGTTCGACCTTGGTCTGGTCTTCACACCTGACCCTAGGTCAAAGTAATTTGTCCATTCAATTGTTGTGTTGCCTAAGGAAGAATATTCGAGATGTATTGCATTGTGTAACACTCCGTTGTTGCAACAGATTGAACGATTCCCTAGAAAGTGGCTTCGCTGAATCCATGGTCTGACTTTGACCTGCTGTAGGTTAGTGACCTCAGAAGGCATATCTAAATGTTTGATACCAAACGATCCACTATGCCACTGCCTACAGCTCTGCAAACTTTGGCGCGGCCTCGCCTCGCTATTAGGAAACTATTCCGGAAAAACCTTCAGAGCGTCAATTTGACCCCCACCCAAGCACGTGTTAAAACAAAACAAGAATGAAAACGTGTGCCCTCATGAGAAAAAGCGATACCTTAATTTAACAAATCTCGAGATCCAGAGCCGAGTTAAAGTCAAGTCAGCTCAGCTCCTTGGGCATGAATTGTATGCTCTTTCGATAGCGCTACATATTGTGTTTTGTGATAGCCTGGCCAGTGTTCATTGGTTTGGAAGATGTAGCACATCTTATCATGCATAACGAAGTCGTACCCACTTATTTGTCACAGATAGGCCGTGATAATCGCTTGCCTCAAGCTTACGCGCTCAAGCTTACCTATAAACTGGCCTTACATGACCTTTGTTGGAAGCCTAGTAGAACCTTCTACGATGGGACTGGCTTTGATCTGTGTGCTGAAGAATGCAGCCGAATCAGTAAATAATTTATACTAAAACAACCTGAGACAAAGGAAGTAACTTTTCGTTATTCCTCTTTGTAGCGCGCTTAACCGAACGGCCCTGCGCTGATACCGTCAAAACTGTGATTGGGCCTAACATGGATGTAATTGTTCTCCAGAATGGCTGAAACTAATCGAATGACAGTCCCAGATGCGTGATGCGCTCACCTGGAATGGTTTTGAGACTGTTCTAGGAGATCGGAGGTGAACTTCGTCTAGGCCTCAATCGGTTGGCTATTAAAATGGTATAGTCGTTAGTTTCATGTGCCGGTTTAAAAAAATGAGTGGTGAGTTGTCTTTACAATTTAAGATTGCGTTGTTGGAAACATGCCCCATCATGCAACTCGACATTGTGCCCGCGTCTCAAGCCATGCTGACTATTTGCATCCATCAGCGCACATTCTGGCATGTAATTTGTTTCATGTTATCATACGCAATAGGAAAATACTGAAACCACCTGCTGTTTTTTGTTGTTTTTTCTGCTGCGTTAACAGTGGATTTCTACCAATGGTTGATGGAAAACTAGGAGTGTCGATTTGTATAGATTTGTGAGTGTCCTGACCTGACCCACCCAACGTTCATCTGGCCTCCATTGTTGCTTCGAGGCCCAGCATTTATTACTGGCACGTCACACAACACAAAAGTATTGTAAAATTTAAGTATCACACAAGGCCTGTATTTTTGGGGTCTTATTTGTTAGTTATAATGAGCGACTACTACGCTGCTCCAATGCAAGACCATTTGATGAATAAAACTAAACTAACGGATTACAAGTGTTTTTTTCTAACGAAGTCGGCTGAATCCGCTGGGGAACACACATTTGGAAGGAAGTGAAGCTGGTGGGCACTGTCCCCCCCCCCCCTCCCACCACCAATGGCCAATCATATACACGAGTGAACGCGCCTGGGGGCGACAGTTGTTACCGAAGTTACCGAATGTTGTTATGTTGTTGTTGTGTGTTACAGATGTTATGTTGTGTGTGTGTGTTGTTGTTGTGTGTTGTGTTGCACCGAAGAGCTTCCAGGAAGACGAGACTCTCAAAGGGTAACGGGGTCGCCGTCGGCGCGGTTGGATCAAAGCCGCTATGAGGAGCTGATGCTCATTGAGCTCCGCCTCACGATAGTCACGACTCGTCTCTTAATCCTGTCGATGCCTTTTCGCAGCTCGCCTCAATGACAGCCACAATTACGTTATCAAATGTCATTGTCTGCAAGACGGCGGCTCACAAAGCAAAGTCCGTCTCCGTCCCGACAGGCACTCATTACGTTAAGGCCGTCTAACGACTGATCTCTTTTCAGCCACCAGTTCCACATGGCCTGCGTTGACCCTTGGCTGTTGAAGAACCACTCATGTCCAATGTGCAAGATGGATATTCTGAGATATTACGGCCTGGTAAGAAAGTGACGTTGCATTGCACTTGGAATCTTCATGCTGTGTATCACAGATGTTGTGAATAGACTTCAGCTTCAATACTCAAATTTGTCATCCAGTGGCGACACTGCGTTGACTGCTGACAGTTGATGGGGCTAGCCTTGGTCTGGCGTGCTGTGCATTTTTTTCGTAATGTGTAAGTCTATCATCTTTTTTGCCTGGTATCCATTTCATAGTGTGTTATTCTTTCGAGTCGCTTGGCCCCGTAAGACCTGTGACAACCTGGACAAGTATGTTGGTTTTACCTGGCTCGCAAAATACGTTGGCTTACCGACCAATCCAATGTTCATTAGAAATGGGCTGCATAAATAATTCGGCAGCTCATGGATCAAAGTGAAGGACGCAGCTTGGAACTTCTCTATCTAAGGGTGTTTGATCTGAAAAATATCTTTGAATGTATGAAAAGTGATACCAAAAATAGGCCACCTGTGCGCCATCTGGTAAGTACTGTTGCAGATTGCTGGACATTTGGATTGCGTCTTTTACGCAATCATTGTGGTTTGGGAAATAGAGAAGCAGGCCTCCGTCCCCGCACTCAGCGACTGAATACGCCATTTGCGATACACTAGTAGCCGGGGAACGTGCTGGTTATTCTGGAATTCGGAGAGTGCGTTCGCGTTCCGGGGGCTGCCTTGAAGACGTTTTGAGGGGGGGGGGGGAGGTGGACATTGATTATTAGAAGAGAAATGTCCAAATGTTCTAAGATATGTAACAAACGAAACTGGTAAATGCATGTCACTTTATGCATATCACGGCCCTTTTAAGATCGACACTGTAGATGAAACACCCTGTAGAAGCACAGACCATTCACTAATGCTGGCCCCGGGTTTTTCCACTGACGGCCCTCCGCCTCCACTCTGTGGCCTGACGCAACATTAACGGAATCTTTCAGCCAAGAGCTGCTAACATCTGGACTCGTTTTAAAAACGTAGCTGTTCTACCTAGAGCGGCCAAGGTGATCTTGCAGGAATTCGTGAGGGATGCCGTTAGCATGTGCCCATATGGTGCCGGGGTGTGAGTTAACCCCTCCCCCCACCGTCTGCAGTGTTGCAACCGCGACCGCCTGCGAAGTGGCATCTTCCCCAGCAATTTCCTAACTAGTTACTGGATAGTAGAAATTGAAACAATCGGTATCCATGGTAACGGCATCTCACAACGCTGTATGTTGACCTCCACCGCTTGAATGATGACGTCCAGGTTTTCAACACTGTATAGTAGCTCGAGACACCCTGGCAAATGTAGTAATGGTCGCAAACCTGTGCGCCGGGCCACAAACAGGGGAGCGCCTCCCTGCGCGCATGAAAGGTGCCGTAACATTTTGGGAAAAAAAAACTTCAAGGATCATGGTCAGCTCCATGTCAGATGAAGCCAGCTGATTAAATATGGTCAGCTGATTAGATGTGTTCTGCTCTCCCGAGTCCCATCATCCAAGGTGTCTGATAGGGATCCGATCATTGGACATTGCTAGTTTGGGAGTATTTATCACAAATTGACCGCACAAATCACTTTGGTTCTGCACAAAGAAGAAGTCCCCCATGACCTAGGTGCCTTCGCATAATTTTGTATATTAAGATTGTCCCTGTGCATGTAGTACGATGTAGCCGATCGGTGCAATGCTACTTTACATTAAAAGCATCTGAGAAAAACACGAATTTCTGCGTGCAAAGGAGACGAGGCAGGTGAGCCTGCACTGGTCATCTGGTGGCGGATCGGCCAGTCAGACCGGAATGTTCCCACAAGGTCTGGCGACGCTCACCATGTGATAACCTGTGTGCTCACCTTGTATTGATAACCTGCTAAACGTGGCTGGAGTGGTGTGGAAGTTATTTTAGAAATCTGGAACGGCGAGGCGGCTGACTGGTGTGTACTTTGATGAATCTAAGAACAAACTGACAAACAAACCGTAGTCGGCAACCGAAACCATAACCGAACAAACAAACCGTAGTCGGCAAAATGAGGCGTACCTTCCCTCGGTGCCCCCACCCCCACCCCACGCTGAGTGAATCCGTCCCTCGGATGCTTGTGACCCAGAGCGTCGCGCCGCAGACTGTGGTGACCGGAGAGGAGGGCAGACCGCAGCTGGAGGTGCAGGACGAGCCTCCGCCACCGCCACCGCCACCGCCACCGCCACCGCCACCTCCGCCTCCAGCCGCCGCCCCGTCGAGTCCGCACTCGGCGGCAGCGGCGTCGTCGCGGCGCTCCACAAGCTTGCACGCGGTGAGCCCTCAGGTCCCGACCTTGCTGCTTCGTCAGCGCAGGGTCCCGGCCTGGCCGCTTCATCAGCGCGGTTCTCCGGTCTCCACTTGTTCCCTCTTGCCGTCCCCGCAAGATGACGACCGGCACTTTCGGGCCGCTGTGTGACTGCGTACAGCTGGTCACACGGTATTGGTGCTGCCCAAGGTGATGGCCGGGTCTTCCGAATCGCTTCATGACCGTTTACAGCTGATCAGACGGTGTTTCTGCTGCCCCAGGTGACGGCCGGGTCGCAGTGCGCGCAGCTCTCGCCGTCCTCGCCGTCCAGTGAAGGCTCGCTCCGGCGGCAGGCGTCGGCACCGGCGGAGCTGGCCGCGCCGCCCGTCGCCCGGCAGGAGGCCGCCGCCGCCGGTCGTCTCGACGCGCCGCTGCCAGCCGATCGCCGGCTCTCGCTGGCCGATGGTGAGTCGGACCGTGAGTGACCTCGCTACCGGAGGTGCTCGCGTACCAGTCAGTTGGGGGAGTGACCTCGCTACCGGGAGGTGCTCGCGTGCCAGTCAGTTGGGGGAGTGACCTCGCTACGGGAGGTGCTCGCGTGCCAGTCAGTTGGGGGAGTGACCTCGCTACCGGGAGGTGCTCGCGTGCCAATCAGTTGGGGGAGTGACCTCGCTACCGGGAGGTGCTCGCGTACCAATCAGTTGGGGAGTGACCTCGCTACCGGGAGGTGCTCGCGTACCAGTCAGTTGGGGGAGTGACCTCGCTACCGGGAGGTGCTCGCGTACCAATCAGTTGGGGGAGTGACCTCGCTACCGGAGGTGCTCGCGTACCAGTCAGTTGGGGGAGTGACCTCGCTACCGGAGGTGCTCGCGTACCAGTCAGTTGGGGGAGTGACCTCGCTACCGGAGGTGCTCGCGTACCAGTCAGTTGGGGGAGTGACCTCGCTACCGGAGGTGCTCGCGTACCAATCAGTTGGGGGAGTGACCTCGCTACCGGGAGGTGCTCGCGTACCAGTCAGTTGGGGGAGTGACCTCGCTACCGGGAGGTGCTCGCGTACCAATCAGTTGGGGGAGTGACCTCGCTACCGGGAGGTGCTCGCGTACCAGTCAGTTGGGGGAGTGACCTCGCTACCGGGAGGTGCTCGCGTACCAATCAGTTGGGGGAGTGACCTCGCTACCGGGAGGTGCTCGCGTACCATCGTTGGGGAGTGACCTCGCTACCGGGAGCGCTCGCGTACCAGTCAGTTGGGGAGTGACCTCGCTACCGGGAGACGCTCGCGTACCAGTCAGTTGTGGAGTGACCTCGCTACCGGAGACGCTCGCGTACCAGTCAGTTGTGGAGTGACCTCGCTACCGGGAGACGCTCGCGTACCAGTCAGTTGTGGAGTGACCTCGCTACCGGGAGGCGCTCGCGTACCAGTCAGTTGGGGTTGGCTCGGAATCCACCGAGTCTCGTGAACGATAGGTCTTTAACGGGTCATTTTGCTGACAACGTCGTTAGGTGTTTTAGTTTTCTTTGTCTAAAGGCAGGTGTCTTACTCAAGATATATCTCTAAATGAGGTCATCAGAGCGCGCGTGAGGTAGAGTTCAGGCGGCCGGTGCCGGGACTGTCACAATCACGTAAAGAGGCACGTGTGTGTTCGGAATCGATACTGTGCGCTCCTTGTACATTCACGCTCTGCTGATGGGCAAGCGCAGAGGGGCCTGCCGAGCTGTCGTCAGGCTGTTACTATGGTGACCCAACCCCAGTAACCGGCCGCTCCCGGCCGGCTAATGCTCCCGGCTGTTCCGCCGACTGCAGTGCGGAGTTGCGATGAAGTGTTTGTATGTAGACAGACGTTGTTGGAGCCTGAGTGGTGCGTGGGATGGCGTATGCTGACCAAGCGTCGTCGCTAATCGTGGCTTGACGCTGTAGCATTGTTGTCGTCGGCCGTCGTTAAATGTTATTATCTGGACAGGTAAGCTTGACAACGACGATGTGTTTTAGAAGCTCGTGTTGCTGGCACAAGGCACACCGCGTTGTATGTGTACACGTTCGGCTATGTTTATTTTCATATGTATGGAACGATGCACATCTGTATCGGTCAAGCTACCGCCAGCAAATGGGTGAGCTGGGGTGTTTGTGGCTTATCAGCAGGCTGGGTCATGATATCCATGTTGTTCGTGCATCCCCGGCGCGGGTGCACAGACGTCCCGTCCCGGCTCCGTGCCGTCTCCCGCCGTCACCAGTGCCGCGTGACTGTCTCGTCGAAAGACGCCGTGCTCGAGCGAACGGCGCGCGGCGTGAGTCTGAGCGGTGGCCTTACCAGCCGGCTGCTGCCGTTGCAGACGACGTCAGCCTGGACGAGAGCGCCTCCTTCCAGTCGTGCCGGCTGGGCTCTGGCGGCAGTGCGGCCAGTCTGGCGTCGGCCAGCTCGCCAGCGGTGCGACGCGCCGCCGCCGCCGCCCCCGCCGCCGCCAGCGCCGTCATCGTCGTGCACCGGGACGGCGGCCACGAGTCGTTCACCTAGGTCGGCCCGTCACCCGCACCCGTACGCCGTGTGTCACCCGCACGCGGTGGGAGCTCTCAGGCGGCCGGTGTCAGCGGGCGCCGCCGAAGCGCGCGGCGCGGCGCCGTCCAGCATGTCTTTCGTGTCGGTGCGCGGTGGGAGGCAGACCGGTCCGGGACCGCCGACGCCGACGCTGTCCGCTCCATCTGGAGCGCCGTTGGGCGCGGCCGGGACCGACGGTCGGACCGGCGCCCGACGTGGGCCGGCGCCACCTGGTGGCGAAGTGGCACCCGGCGCTGCCACCTGGCGGTCGCTGTGGTCGTTAGTCATGGCCGGCCTGTCCGGGCTCTTGACGCTAGTGACCGGTGACCAGTTCACCCGTGGCCCATGACTATCGGGCCCGTCGGGACCGTTGCTGATCGTGAGTCCGGTGGTCGTGTTATGTGTGCTCTGCTATATAAACATTGAAGTACACGCCTGTGGCGCCATCACAATCACAATCGCGCCCATACTGGGACCCAATTTGCGCAATGGACAGGAGTGGAAATGATGTTAGATTTTTTAGTACGTTAAGACTCCGGTTGTGCCGATCTTACCATTCAGTTCGTCTCTTTTGAGCCAGTCTTTTTGTTGGAAGCTGCTCAGTCGATTGCTTTTGCGCTCGTGCAGATGTATTTTTGTTCCATTTGGAAGACTGCTTATCTGATGTTTCATGTGGGACTGTGTCTTAAACCAAATCAAACGCTAGCAGTTTAAAACCAAATTAATTCGTCGATAATATGTGCAATATTTTCACCATGAAGTCAAGCTCATTACTTGGTCTTCACCGATTCATCATTTGATGCAAACGCTCCTCAGATCACGTTCTGTCCTTAGGTGTGAAATTGGGTTGTTTCAATAAGCGCAAGGATGAAAACTGACCCTCAGTAGCACCGATTGTAAAACTGAATGATGAGGTATAAATTTGTGGATTTTAAATTTCTTGCATTCAGTAACAAGCCTTTTTCGTGCTTTGTGAGCTAGATATGTTGGCGTACTTAACACATTCCATCCAGAGAGCTATGTGCTGTTTCAGAGCGAGCTGCTGTTTTAAGGCCCGACCTGATCTATTGGCTGCTTCTGGCGCATTTGCCACTCTGGCGGCCCGCCAAACCGCACTGTTCTGGGTGCGCGTTCGGCGATATCTCCCGGCTGCATTGAGGCGGTGCGATATGTGATCTGTCGGCACCGGTCTCGGTAGCGCTCAGCCCTAGCCTCGGTAGCCTCAGACGTGATAGCAGGACACGCGACTGTGTCATGACAACACGTGTCATGACAACAGGCGCGTGTCAAAAGGACGACTACTGATTGCGGCGGTGTTGAGCGGAAGACGCGTTGATGTATACTTGTTTTGTGTCCGAGGTATCGAGAAAGGAGGCTGTCCTTCGCCATATGCTGTTGTCGTACCTGCACATGCAGTCTTGATTGCATGTGATCGACAATGGCGTGCAGCCAGTAAGAGACACCTTACCCATGCTCCTGTTTTTCAGTAAGATGGTGTCCAAAGAGATGGATGTCGGATGTGATGGGTGTTTTTGTCGGCTAATGTCGTGTAATGTTACCTGTCATGATAAGCTGTTTTAATGTTGATAAGTCATTGTGTTTTAACATTAGGACAGGAACTTCATCTGACTGACACCATGCCGCGAGCAAAATAAATGCGTAAATGTGCATTTGTTGTTTACGGCTGCTACCAAATGTTGCCTCATGGTACCCTTTTCCAATGAAGTTAAGTAGTGAACACCTCTTGAGAACAACAATGCTCGTATAGCCACCTCACAATGAGATGCATTGCCGACACTCAGAGTCATATTTTACACAAGGATCTTGCGGTAAGTGTACCCCATGCCGGCCGCCGCTCTGCACTGCCCCTGATGGACGCGGCCCTGGTCCACGGACCGAGCTCGTGAAGAGAAGCCTGTGGGCCGGGATGGGTTGAGCTGGGTCGACTGATCAATGGGACCAAAGTTGTAGTTGACGCAGAGCAGCGGAGGGAAGCGTTTACGGCAAACGGGAGAAATATACAATGCAAAGGACGCTCATTTTGCGTTTTTATTCCCGGCTTATGCTTTGAACTGTTTTTTAGCCCAGCAACGCTCTGAAAGCACCGCGAGCAGTTTTTGTTGAGAATCGGTTTGCGTCAGGCGCCTGACGAGCTGGTGCCTAGACTGCGGGGATCCTTATAGCGGTTTCCGAGACGGTCACATGCCGCCCGAGAAATTCAAAGGACCTATCGATTAACCCACGGTCAATGTCGGTTATCCCCCGGTTATCTGTGCTGTGTGGGACCGAAGGCCTTCTCTCCATGTCATATAAAGGAAGCGCACGCCGGGACCGGTCCGTAATAGGACGCATCTCGGGTTACGGCCCGCAGCCGCCCCGAGGCGACCGCCCCTCCCTCAGCCGACGAATCGGAGAGAGCATCTCCTCAACGACCGCAACTCCAAAGACGGCCGGCCGCACGGCCACGCATTGGGCATTGCGAGATACGTAACTGCGGCTATTACGCAACATGTTGGTCCCCACGTGAGCGCCTCACACGCCAACCCACGTGCATCCTGAACACTCGAAAGGCAGTTCTTCCAACAATGTCCCCCAGGGACACGTGCTTAGGATGCACGCGTCTGTGACCAGACAGTGAGCACGTGTGGACCTGTGTGAGTTGCGAGCCTCTCCGATGCAACACAACCAGTGTCTTCCCACAACCAGCAACGGCTCCAAGATCCCCGACCACACCTGTGGGAAGTTGACCACTAGTGAATTATCGGCATGGTGCTGAGGGGCGGCGCAGCAGGAAGAGGAGGGGAGGGGGGGGGGGGGCATAGCCAGTTGTCCACTCCCTGCCCGCAGGCCCCTTTTGATGATGGTGTCCCTTCTCCCAACCTAAAGCCATTGTAGCTACCCGTAGACTACCAAAATGCTGATCAATGAGGACCCCATAACTTAGTTGAAGAGTAGTAATCGGGCTTGGAAGACCCTCAGCCACGTCAAGAGACCCGTTGCATGAGTGACGAGGTTACCTCTATGAACAAAGTAGCCTATGCTCTTGATTAGGAGGGCCAATATCGTGCTAAACAAGCCCCTTTTCTGGCTTGGTAGGCCCCGTTGCAAACTAGGAGGCATATATTGGTGGTTAGCAGGCACTCTATATATTCAAATATTTATGACGACTGGAAGGACACATAGTTATGAGTGCCCAGTCTGACCGCATTTTGCCCGGTCTGAGAGCTCGAAAATGGCATCCATTTGGCCATGTGGGCCTCGTTTGCGATTAATTCATTCCTTGAGGATCATGATCAGTTTGTAATTGATCCGTTCTACCGTCTACACTTTGTTATCGGTTCGCGCTCTTTGATTCGTGCTCTCCCGCGCAGAGCGCAGAGGAACCTCTCGCGTCTTTTGGGTGACGGTATGAGCCTCCCCCCCCCCCCCCAAATCCGGCCAGGAGTCAAAATCAGTTGTCGATGGACTGTCAAAGGGGAGCCAGACAGGCGCGGTTTCCTTAGCGTAATATTACATGCCTGCAACGCATTAGCCAGCGTCCAATGGCATGCCAGTTTTGATGTAAGGACCCCTGGGAAAACTCGACCAAGACGTCAAGACGACAGGATCACATGACCAGGATTCGCCACCTGCAAACAGGCGCGACAATAACGCTATCCGGTCGCGTTAATGAACCCCGAAAATGCATCCAAATGGCTGCCAACGTCTTACGATATTGTGATTCATCCCGGAGCTACACAATGTGACACGGGTTCAACAACGTTCACAAAAATGAGTGCCATTTTTGGTGTGGTAAGCACATCAAATCATATCATCTGTAAATATCTTACCACGCCTGAATTCTCCTCGTCCCAGCCTCGCCATTACATAACGGCTCGTTACGCGAAGATTGAAAGAAAAATGTGACCGCTGCAATGTGGTTACAAATGTTTGACCCTATCAGGCCAATGATCAGATGCATGCCAGATGGCAAACCTTGTCTCAGGTCAACGGAATCGACATTGACTGAGGGTAAACTTATACGTTACTTTAGGTATATGCAGTACTAGAACTTCAGACTGTTCGGTTGGTAAGCAAATGCAGCCACTGGCCTGATTGGGCCGCATCAGTCACACCAACAATAGGAAAAGCAGATCAGCATGTATTCATCTATCATGGAGCGCTCAATCGCCACTAGTTTGTCAAAATAAAAAAGGACCAAATGTTCTTGATTGACGCTCTAGTGCCTCCGGTGTGGAAATTTGTACCGGCTCCTGGTGTTGACATACCAAATGATATGCCATTCGAAACCACCCACGCCACTGATTAGATTACGGCACAATATCTGACGCAAGCTTGCATCTTCACCGACCCATTCCTTCACGCTTACCTGTGCTCCGCATACCACAGAGCCCAGATCAAAACATAGCGGTAATGTGCTCCGGTGTGCGATCGTGGCCCGTACCCGTTTCACACGTGCACTCTCAGACACACTATCCCTGCGCTAGACCGGAGATCTGCGTCCCCGGCGCCCCACTCCGCCCGCCGCCGGGGCCGCACCCGCGCTGGCAGCCCCGTTAGCTCGTTGTGCACGATGTCAGAGACTGTGCGGACCGGCGGAGAATCCCGTCGCCCGGGCAGAGGCTACGGGTCCTGGTTTCCACACGGCATTCCACCGTGTCGAGGTAGGCCGCTGGTTGCCGCTGCGGTACGGTGGTGCGGGGACGGGGCCAGTGTGGACGGAGCCGCCGGCGGGCGGGGGTGCGGCGGCGGCCGGCGGACGGTGCTGTGCGGTGGTGCGAGCCTGACCCGCGTGCGTCGCAAGGTAGGATATAGAGCGGCTGCCCTGGATCTCTGCTGGGGAGCGCACGCTGGGTCTGGCGTTGACCATTCACAGGTGAGCAGGGGGATTCACGCGCGCACGTGCTGTGCAGCCGTCAAGGGCTGTGTGTCAGTGTCAGTGTCGGTACCGTCAGGAGCGCAGCGTCAGTGTCGGTACC